GAAGGGAAACCTATATTATATAGTTAACATTTACTCTCCTTGCTCCTTGCATCAAAAGTGGAATATATGGAGGGAACCTTTGAGATCGAAGTCCAATTTTTTTGATGGGGAGTGGATTATGGGGTGCGATTTCAACTCTATGAATAATGTTGGCAGAAATACGGAGATGATGTAATTCGCGTCCTTTATTGATAATACTCACTTGATCAATATTCATTGCAAGGGAAAGAGGTTCACTTGGTTTAGTAGAGATGGAAGGTCCGTGAGCAGAATTGGTAGATTTTTGGTGGAGGAGTCGATTACCAGTAGATGGGAGATTATTGGTCAGATGATTGGGAATATGGATATCTCAGACTATTATCCAATTTGGTTGGTTATTAATAAGGAGAATTGGGGTCCGAAACCGTTTCAGGGTAATAACAGTTGGTTTGATAACAAGGATTTTCTTCCTTTTGTGGAGCAGGCTTGGAGGAATATTAGAGTGGAAGGAAGAGGTGACTTTGTTTAGAAGGAAAAATATAGGTTGCTGAAAAATCTCCTTAGAGTTTGGAATATTGAGGTGTTTGGAAGATGGGATTTGGAAATTGAGGATGATAAAAAGAAATTGAATGATGTGGATGATTTATTAATATCTTGTAGGGAGGATGAAGTGGAGAAAATTGTGGCGCTTAGAAGTGAAGCTACTAGTCGAATGTGGTTGAGAATGAATATCAAAGAAAAATATGATTCTTCAAAAGTCTAGATTGAAGTGGGACTCAGAAGGGGATTCAAATAGTAATTTTTTTCATTGTTATATGAAACCTAGGAGGAAAAACAATTTCATTGGGCATATTCAAATGGAGGATGAGGTGGTAGAGTCGATTGGGGAGGTTAAGGAGGAAGAGGTGGTAGAGTCGATTGGGGAGGTTAAGGAGGAAGTTAGACGTTATTTTGCAGAGAAATTTCTTGAGATCGATCATAATCGACCAATTCTGGATGGTATGTTGTTTAATGTTCTTTCTCCTTCTGAGAGGGATTCGTTGGAGGTTGAATTCTCGGAAGAGAAGATTAAAGATGCTATTTGGAGTTGTGAGGGATCGAGGAGTCCGGGGCCCGATGGTTTAAATTTTTACTTCATTAGGAAATGTTTGGGTTTTCTTAGAAATGATTTTGTTCAGTGTTTCAAAGAATTCTATGTTACTGGTATTTTATCTAAGGCTATCATCTCTTCTTTTCTTAATTTGATTCCTAAAAAGATGAATCCTTGTAAACTTGATGAATATAGATCGATTTGTTTGATCAGTTGTATTTACAAAGCTCTTTCTAAGCTTTTGGCTGCAAGGTTGAAGAGAGTTTTTGAGCCCTTGATATCTATATGCTAAAGTGTTTTTGTGTCGGGAAGGTTTCTTTTAGACAAAGTGTTGATTGCAAACGAGGTTGTGGATTATGTTTCAAAATCTAAGAAGGGTTGTTTGCTTTTCAAAGTCGATTTTGAGAAGGCTTATAACAAGGTTAGTTGGGATTGTTTGAGGTATTTGTTGAGGAGAATGGGGTTTGGAGACCGTTGGGTGAAGTGGATGGAAACGATGATCTTTTCAAGAAAATATAAATTTTGTCACCGTTTACAAGAACCGACATCTAACTTGAAAAGGGGTCTTAGACAAGGTGATATGTTGTCACCGTTTTTATTCGTTATTATTGCGGAGGGTCTGGCAGCCCTAGTAGTACAAGCAGTCCATCATGAAGATTATTCTAGGTTTTCAGAGGAAGGTAAATGTGAAGTGGACGTTTTACAATTTGCGGATGACACTCTTATGGTGGGGAACATGAATTGGAAGCAGGTTTGGGCGCTTAAGGTGATGTTAAGAGGGTTTGAAGTGGTGTCAGAGTTAGGGGTTAATTTCCACAAAAGTAGGCTAATTGGGATCAATCTGAGTTCTCATTTTCTGTTGGCTGCGACTAATTTTCTGTCTTGCATGTTAGAAGTAAAGTCTTTCTCTTTTCTTGGGATCGTTATAGGTTCGAACCCGAGAAGGGTGTCATGGTGGAAACCTCTTGTTTTGAAGATTATGGAGAGATTGTCGGCTTGGAAATAAAAGTTTCTCATTATTCGCATAAGGATTACTTTGGTAAAATCGGTCCTTTCGAGTTTATCCATTTTCCAACTTTCTTTTTTCAAAGCTCCCGTGGCAGTGCATAAAGAAATTGAAAGGCTTCAGAATAATTTTCTTTGGGGTGGTAGTCTTGGAAAAAGAAAGATTAATTGGTTTCGTTGGGAATTACTTTGTTCTCCGGTTGATAACAGAGGCTTTTGATTCAAGAGTTTCAAAGAATTCAATGCGGTGTTTCTTTTCAAATGGAAGTGGAAGGTTCTCCAGGGTTTGAATTTGCTTTGGTGGGATGTTTTGATCACTAGATATGGCAATAAGAAACATCAAGTTATATCTGGATCCGGCTCTACGCCTAGGAAGGAGAAATCAGGTTGGTGGTCTGATATGCTTTTGTTTGAATTTTTTTCAGGATTATGTATAACGAGGAATATTAGATTTGAGATTAGTAACAGGGAGGATACTCCTTTTTGAAGTGCTGTCCGGATTGGGGATATGTCGTTTGTGGAGGTTTTCCCCAGTCTGTTTGAAGTGAGTCGATTGAAGGAGGCGTAGGTGAGTCATATGGGGCTGTGCTCGGGTGACAAGTGGGATTAGGGATCATTTGGCGCAGATGTTTCGTTTGAAGCAATTGTTCTGTTGGAAGTGTTAAGGCTTGAGCGCTATTTATCTGTTGCTGCTTCGAACAAAAACTGTACGGATAAGGTGGTTTAGATTCCATATGCGGAGGTGGGCTATACCACGAAGAGTGATTGTGTTTGTTTATCCGCATTTCTTTGCGATCTGGGTTTGGAGGAAGGGAAGCTCTCGGCGATAGGATTGGTTTTTGTAATTCAGTTGTGCCGTATAGAATCAAAGCCTTCGGGTGGAGATGCTTGTGGAATAGACTCCCGATTAACGAGTTTTTGTATTGTAAGGGTATGATTCTCTCTTATAACGATAGGTGCTGCATTTTTTGTTCTGAAGACTTAGAATCATTGAAACATATTATTTTGGGTTGTGCTTTTTATAAATTGATTTGGAAAGAAATTTTCATTTGGTTTAGGTTCAATCTGACGTTAAGAGATAACATATGGAACAACTTGAAAGTTTGGTTTAATGAGGGTAGAAAGTTAGGTGTAAATAAAGGTAAAGAAAATATAGTTTGGTTGGCGGTTATGTACGGTATTTGGATTTTCAAGATGACGTTATTTTCAACGGAGCTAAGGTTAGTCTATCCGATTTGGTATGGGATATTAAAATCAAAGTTTGAAAATGACATTGAATCAACGATATTTCTATATTCAAATGTAACTTTTACGAGTTTTATAAAACTCCTTTACTTTATCTTGTTTAAGTTCTAATTAATAAGAAATACTATTTTTTATTCCGAGTTTATCTCACCGTTTTTGTAAACAAATTTGAATATCTCTGATACTTGTTATTATTAAATTTTTTGCTTATATATATATATATATATATATATATATATATATATATATATATATATATATATATATATATATATATATATATATATATATATATATATATATATATATATATATATATATATATATATATATATATATATATATATATATCTTCAATTACATAGTCATAAACGACATTTTTTGTACAAACATTTTAATTAATAACTTTTGTGGGGCAACACTTTAATTAATACTTAGACAAATTCTTTGACCATTTATACATATAACTTTATTATTTCCTTAATAAGTGTGCACTTTCTCTAAATACTCAATATTTTGAAGTGTTGGTTTGTTAGTAAGTAGTACTACTTTAAAACTATTTATAATGTTGAGTTCTTCACTTAGGTATTTAATGTTGAGATTTTTTAAAACAATTTTTTAATATCAGTATTAAATAAATATTTATTTACTGTACAACACTTTTATATAAAAAAATATTAAACGAATCACATATATAATTTTACATCATTATATTTCAACAACATTTATTTATTTAATACAAATTTAATGGAAAAGAAATCATATAAAATAAGTATAGAGAGAGAGAGACTGAACTTGTTTAACAACCACTTCTTAATATTCATGCATTTTATTTGATAATATAATATTCATGCATTTTTAAACCTATAACAGAATACCTAATAGGTAGTGATTCATAATTGGTAAAACCACTAAATTAGTTATATACTCTATGAACACTATTAATTTAAAAAAAAGGTTAATCTATCCTTAAAAACATTTGTGAAAGTGATAACTATATTATTTTTTAATAAAATGTTTTTTAATTCCTTAAATAGTATTTTAAAGCACATATTAACAATTTTTTTCATTTTAATATGAAAAAAATGTTGGTGTATAAATAAAAATTATCCAACTAAAAGCAAACAATTTAGCAAGACCAAACTCACAACCAACTTTAAGTCAAATAAAGACTCCCCAAATTAATAAACAAAATTCCCTAATAAATACAAACCTCTTCATAAATCACCTAATCCCACTATTGTTCACAATTTTCAAAATCATTTTTTTTCTTTCAAATCAATTAAAAATTATCATTTCAATGTTAAAAATTTAAATAAAATTTAATATCAAAATTTTGGAGTTATATTGTCTATTCCAATTATTTCCAATTTAACTTCTCCATTTGCACATTATAAAGATTCAATTTTCAAAATTCAATTTAAAAGAGAACAAAACAAAGAAACAAAAACCTATAAAACATAAAAATTCCAATTTCCCATATTTAACCAATCTTCAACCCCAAAACACACAAAGTTCTCAAACTTGTTCCTCACAAACCCATTAACCCTTTTCACCCAAAAAAAAGTCAAAAAGCCACAAAACACAACACACAAAACCAAAACAAAAAAACACCAAAAAACCAAAAACCCCATTTCTAAAAATCGAAACTTTATCATCGTACAACAACCCTTTCACCTCAATGATTCACAAAACCATGTCTTCCCCACTCTTCTTCCTCCTCTTCACAATATTCACTTTCTGGGTATTCTTCATTTCATCCCAAGCTGAAGAAGACGACGTAAGATGTCTCCGAGGTATCAAAGAATCCCTAGGAAACTCTGAAAGTGGTATTTCATCATGGAGTTTCAACAACGACACCGTAGGTTTCATCTGCGATTTTACTGGTGTCACTTGCTGGAACGTGAGAGAGAATCGAGTTTTGGGTTTGGAGCTAAAGGGTATGCAGCTTAAGGGTAAGATCCCAGAATCCTTGAAGTATTGTGGACAAAATTTGCAAAAATTGGATCTTGGGTCAAATTCATTGAGTTCTGTGATTCCAACACAGATCTGTAGTTGGATGCCGTTTTTGGTAACAATGGATTTGTCTGGTAATGATCTTTCAGGTTCAATTCCGAATACTCTTGTGAATTGTTCGTATTTGAATGAGTTGGTGTTATCTGATAATCATCTTAGTGGTAGAATACCTTATGAAATTGGTAGTTTAACTAGGCTTCATAAGTTTTCTGTTGCTAATAATCAGCTTAGTGGGAGTATTCCATCGTTTTTCAATCGTTTTGATAAGGATGGTTTTGATGGGAATAGTGGTTTATGTGGTGGTCCTCTTGGTTCAAAGTGTGGTAGTATGAGTAAGAAGAATCTTGCTATTATTATTGCTGCTGGTGTTTTCGGTGCTGCGGCTTCGTTGTTGTTGGCTTTTGGGTTATGGTGGTGGTATCATATTAGGTTGAGGAGGGAGAGGAGTAAGGAAGGGTATGTTGTTGGTGGTGTCGACGATTGGGCATTGAGGTTGAGAGGTCATAAGCTTGCTCAGGTTAATCTTTTTCAGAAACCGATTGTTAAGGTTAAGCTTGGTGATTTGATGGCTGCGACGAATAATTTTAGTTCGGAGAATGTGTTGATTACAACGAGGACGGGTGCGACGTATAGGGCGGATTTACCGGATGGTTCGACGCTTGCGGTGAAGAGGTTGAGTACTTGTAAGATTGGTGAGAAGCAGTTTAGGATGGAGATGAATCGGTTGGGACAGGTTAGGCATCCGAATTTGGCGCCTTTGTTAGGTTATTGTGTCGTGGAAGAGGAGAAGCTTTTGGTTTATAAGCATATGTCGAACGGGACGCTTTATTCGTTGTTGCATAAGAATAACGGTGCATTGGATTGGTTGATGAGGTTTAGGATAGGGTTGGGTGCGGCGAGGGGACTTGCGTGGTTGCATCATGGTTGTCATCCTCCGATTATTCAGCAAAATATTTGTTCTAATGTGATTCTTGTTGACGAAGAATTCGATGCTCGGATAATGGACTTTGGACTCGCGAGGCTTATGACGTCCGACTCCAACGGTAGTTTTGTGAATGGCGATTTAGGGGAACTCGGTTATATTGCTCCGGAGTATTCGAGTACGATGGTTGCTTCGTTGAAAGGGGACGTGTATGGATTCGGAGTTTTGCTTTTGGAGTTGGTCACAGGGTGCAAACCTCTCGAGGTGAACCGTGGCGATGAAGAATTTAAAGGTAACTTGGTGGATTGGGTGAATGTGCATTCTAGTTCAGGTAGACTCAAGGATTGCATCGACAAAGCGATAAGTGGAAAAGGTAACGACGAGGAGATTCTACAGTTTCTGAAAATCGCATCCAATTGCATCGTTTCTCGCCCGAAAGATAGGTGGTCTATGTATCAAGTATATCATTCGTTGAAAACCATTTCCAAAGACAATAGTTTCTCCGAACAAGACGATGAATTTCCATTGATCTTCGGTAAGCCAGAAAACGAGCCGTCCTAGTTCGTGCATGAGTGTGGCAGCAGGACAGGAGAAGAAGACATAAATCGAGTTTTTATCGAGTTCTTACTTATGTTCATGGTTGACACTAATCAGAGATATAATTGTTCTTGTATGATATAAGAATGTTTGTGGTAGAGATTAGGTTATTGTGATTTATAAAATCTATTATGTTTCAATGTCTGTTGTATGAAAATGCAACCTTAAATGTTGTCTAAGATATTTGGAGTATGCTTAAGATTCTCTGTAAAAATGTGTTATTAAGATGATTAATCTTTTGTTGTGTTTTGCAAATATTTGATTGGAAATTTTGCAGCATTTATATTCTGTATAAATAAAACATGTCATAGGTTATTTGGTTAGAATTGCATATGGTTTATAAATTGCTAGTGAAATTTTTTTGGAGAATTTATATGGTATATTTAGATTTTTTTATGTATGTAATAATTATTAAAATGTCATCTTTTTATTTTTATTTAATATATATTATGTTAGAAATGGTGAGAAATAATATCTTTGTTATTTAGTGAAAATGAAAACATCTTTGTTAGAACAAATGACCAAAAGTCTATTTGTACTAGGTGGTTGTCTATTTCATTATGTCTTGTCATGAATTAAGGTTAATAACATACTACTAGAATTATGGCACGTTTGATTTGGCTTAAAGAAATTGACTTTTTTTATTTTAAAAAATGATTTTTATAAAGATGATTTTTAAAATATTATAAAACTTTTTAATTTTTATTTATAAAATAAAAATAATTTTGACACCCTAACCTAAACATACATTATACATTATTGAAAACTTAAACATATTCGAAATCGCAATTTAAATTTTTTTTTTATAAAAAGTTATTTGAAATAATTTGAAAATTTTGACATCTAAAAATAATTATACTAAACTGATGAAAATTTTAAAATAATATTTTAAGAATAATTATTTAAATTAATTTTTTAATTAAAAATTTTATTAAATTTTTGTTTTGTATTTTTTTTAAATAAAAATATTTAATACTATAAAAATTATTTTATTAAAAAGCTGAAACAAACTGTCTTTAAATTTATCTATAAAGACATACTACTAATTGAATGTTAATTACATAGGTACTTATAATTTTTTTTATAATTTATAATGCTGATCTTATATATATCTTACATTTTTCTGTTATGTGATAAACTTTAAATATCGTTTAGTGAATTGACATATAATTTTTTTTTGGGTAATTTTCATATGAGTATTCGATTATTTGCTATTTGGATTAGATTTTTTTTGTTGTTGTAATAATTAAGTATTGAAAAAAATATATAAATAATTACGTTTTAAAGAAAATTACGTAAATAATCATGTTTTAGAAAACGTTAACATGCAATAGTCAATTGAGATAACACATGTATTGATTTTTTTAAAGGTGACGTCAAATGAGATGGCGCTTAGGTGTATGTGATTTATCCTAAACCATCTCAGATGGCGCCTATGTGTAAAGTACAATTTCTTTTGTTAAAGAAATAAAAGATAATTTCTTTGTAAATGAAAATTTGATTTTCAATAATAATTAAACGAATACATAATTAGAATAAAAGTTACATATTATTTAGTTGTCTCCCGGGACTCAATAACGATTTGTAGTTCCGCACCCGCGTCCTTGCCTAACTCGTGGTGCGTTTCGACAATTTTCTTATTGCGGTTGGGTCGAAGGCCCTGCGAAGTCAATGCGTTCAACATCCATGAAATCCGTCAGATCATCATATCCGGAAGATCCGCTTTCAAATGGTCGGTTACCCATGCCCTCAAAGTTTGATCATATTGGTGGGGGTGGGGCTCCATGAGTGGTCGATAGTAGTGGTTGTATGAATAAAGGGGTAAAAAGGAAATGAATCTTGTGGAGTTTGGTATTGTGATTGTTGGGTGCTATGGTGATGTGATGACTGATCGTAAGTTGGAGAATATTCTTCAAGTAGGTCAAGGTTTGGGCTAAGGTGAGATGATGAGGGGGCCACATCGGGTTGACGAATATATAGTTGGTGTTCTTGGTATTGTGATTATGTATGGGGCATATGGGTGTATTGGTATTGAGGTTGTGATTGGGGTTGAATGTTTTTGGATCTGTATCGTCGTGGTGTTTGGTGGGAGGTTGATGTGTGTTGGGTGGTGTATGATTGTTGGTAGTGTTATTGGGGATTTGAGAGTTGTGTCCATTGCGTGTGTGGATCAATCAAATACCTCGGGTGAGACACAAACATTTCAGGGTTAGTAACTGATATGTACCAATCAATATATTGATTTGTGTGTCGCATATTATTATGGATGAGAAAAACAGGGAATTGTAAGACATGTCGGTCATGCCTATGCCACATGTTACACCATTCCAGAGCGAAATATTTCCAATTATTAACACCCCATTAAGCGCCGACCCTTTTTGAGATGCCAAGTTGAAAAATAAGTTGGATCGGCTGATACTTCTTGATGCATTCTGAACGGCATCTGGACACGGTCGCTGTAGTGCATCTCCATAACATTGAACCGTATGATTGTAGTATTTGTAGTCTAAACTGTTGCATCCTCAGGGTTGGGTTCATGGTCCAAACTCAAATATGGTCTCCAGATAAACGGTGAATAAAATTAAATCTTAATAATGATAAATTTAAAAATAAAGAAGTAAAAAGAAGAAAAGTTTAGGGGTACTACGTACGTCATCTGGGTCAAGGTGATCCAAAAGATCACGATATAGAGCGACATTTTGTCTTGGATTCTTGCTGTAATCCATACGCCTTATACAATACCTAAAGGAATGAAAAAAATAATTAATTATGTACATCTATTTAGTGAAGAGAAAATAATAAACTATTTACGCTATAGACTTACTTTGTTGGTATGGAACATGAGCGGATGGTCGTTGATGGAGTTAAGGGACTTCATTCTCCACCAACCCCATGCTTGGAGCAAGAAAGTGCATCCATTAAAAGTACAACTTGACTCATAAGTGCTTGATCCCATCAAAGACGAACAACTTGAAGTAGATGTCGTTGACGAAGAAGAGGAAGATGAAGAGTTAGAGTTTGATAACATGGTCAACGATGATTCCGAAGACGATGGACTAACTGGAATACCTCCAAATGAAATCTACACACCACCTTCGCACATGACCAACTTCAACATGGGCGGAGATGAACCGTCAACAAATGTTTTCTTCAACCCCAGCTTCGATGTCTCCGTCTAACCATCACATCAACTCTCTCTTCAGAAGCTTCATGGAATGAATGTGTCAAAATTTCATTTTCATCGGAGGTTTGATGGCCAAAAAAATAACGTACCCATCTCTCATGAAAATCATGGAAGATGTCATGATGCAAAAAATAGAGAGAAGATAAGAAGAGAATGTGAGAAAGTGTGAAGAATTGTGAGAAATAGATGTTTTATATATAGAAAACACAATTGCATATAGAAGCCATCTCAGATGACGCCTCCTCCCACAAATATAGACATACGCCTTCTCACATGATTTGAGGGAAGTGTATGCGCCATGTGAGATGACGCCTGTTCTGGACTGGGCCCGACAGGCCCAAAAGCATTGCTAAGGCCCAGTCCAAAGGGACTTACTGAGGACCACGCCGAGCAAAGGGGCCACATCCGTGCCCGACATCCTGATGTCCAGCTCGACATCCTGCTGTCCAACTCCACGTGGTGATGTCCAGTTCCACCTCCTGCTGTCCAGCTCGACACCCTGTCGTCCAGCTCCACGGCCTGGCATCCAGCTCGACACCTTACTGCCCAGCTCGACATCCCCTCGAGCATCCCAACTAGGGCAGACTCAGTCCACCGTTCCCCCAACGATACCCTGGAAAGACCGCGTCTTCGTCCGCCCGCACTTCACGCAGAACATCCAGGAAGGGGACCACGTGCGGGTCCCCACTACCCACGTAGAACCTGGCAGTTCCTCCATTGGGCCAAATCCGCCCGGCCCAATGAAGGAACCTTGGCCCAACGCTGGGGGCTATAAATACCCTCTGCTTCCAGAGGGTCAGGTATTCATCATTCTAACCTCAACTTGCTATTATCTGCTCGTACTCCCACTTACTTTAGCATCGGAGTGCCTTGCAGGTACCCCCCCCACCTCGTTCAAAAAAGCTTTCTGCTCGGAGCCAGCCGTGACGGTCCATTTCTGATCAGGTCAGATCAGTGGCGCCGTCTGTGGGAAACAGCTTCCCCGTCTAACGAACAATTCTAAGGACCAAAGCTCAATTCAACTACCTGTCATGGCTGACCCAGCTCGCGACGAGCAGCCCGTTCGTGTCGCCGACACTAATAACGGCCCCGCGGACAAGAATGGACACCTCGACAATCCCGGTGATCCCGGCCACAATGCCATCCCTGTGACCACCGCCCCTGGACCTTCCACCTATAGGGACGGGGCTACTGCATCATCCTCGACGACCCCTCCAGCACTCGAGGACGACCCGGTAGCTCTCGCCCATCACAGAGCTGCCCGGTTCTATGAAGTCCCAGTTCCTTCCGGGGCAGATGCCACAACTCAGGCACTGTTCGCGACCATCAACCAGACAAATTATCTCATATTCGCCCAAGGAGAAAGACTGAGGGCACTTGAAGATGATCGATGACCCCCGAGGAGGCATCGGAGGCCACCTTCTCCACCTCCTCGGGTCGAAGAAGTTCGACACCCTTCTCCCCCGCGGAGACACTACAGGGAGAACTCCAGAAGCCCCTCTCCCCGACCAAAGCAGAGGAGGCCCAACTATGAGAGACAGCCCGCTATTCCAGCCGGAGAACCCAGTCGCGACCCATCAAGGCACGACAAGAGGCACGCCGGAGACGGGCGTGTGACCTTCAACCACCGAGCATCACGCTCGAGGGAATCTCAGCACGATCATCGTGCCAGACATAACTACAGGACTCCTTCTCTTTCTCCGGAGAGGAGCGACGAGGACGACCCCCGCGGTCCCCTGTCGCAGGCCATCATGGATGCACCTATCCCCCCGGGCATGGA